AGTAGATATGAGTAATTAGATAAAATTAGCATAATTCGCCCTATAATTTCTCCCTTCACACAGAATCTTCGATTGCCTCTCCTCGTAGCCTACATTATCAAGCAAATCACCTACCGCATTACGTTCTCTCCTAACATGAGAGAATGATACTTCCATTTGCCTTTTCCAATGCTGAGTTCTTCTTGTAGGTATTGAATTAACCATGGATCCTTAGAGTTCTTTTTTACCAACCTAATTGTGATGAGTCATCTTCGGCCCAAAGATGACACTAACCAAGTAATGATAGAGTCTAAGTGATAAGTATGTTTTACGCGTTTATCTGTGCTTTTAAAATTATAATAAATTATTTTTAATTGAGTAGATTTCTATCTAATTTAGTTTAGATATGATAATTGTAGGTAAAACTCCAAACTTGGATGCATTTGGAGCAAAAGGAAAGATTTTTAAGCTAATTTTGAGTTGATTCGGATAAATTGAAGGCTAATCAGACTGTGCGAGATTGATAATAATTATTAAGAGAACACTAAAAGGAAATTCACAAGTTTTTGGAGCAAAATTCAATATTTTTCGTAGATCTGTGTGGTCGAAAATTTGATAAAATTGTGAATCCCATCAAATTTGATTGAAAATGAGTTTGAGAAAAAAAAAATCTTTAAGAAACAGGGATCAAACATGGACTTAATTGAGGATTCCGAGATTTAAGAAATAGTTTGCCCAAGGTTAATTGAGGATTCCAAGATTTAGGCACTTCTCGGGTGCATAGACATGTAAATCCAACTATTACCAACCCCATTTGTGTCTCTACGAGTAACCCGTCCCGACGATGTTTAATCATATTATTACTTGGGAAAAATTAGTCGATCATTGTGTGACTAAGATTGGACTCCCTGGTTATGCTAGGATACTGATTGACAAATCGACTTTAATTGGGATTTAGGACATTGGTTGATAGGTCCACTTTAATTGAACACAACGATCCCCGCAGTCCTAATCCCATTTGGATTATGTCATGAATTATTATACAAAATGCACCTTAGCCTGTTATTACATTAAGTTAAATCTTTAAACTCATATTTTGTCTCTATTGATAACTTATGCATAGGAGGGCTGCGAGACCACATCTCTTAGCTTTTATTTCATATTCTCTCCTAAGGTTAGAAATTAGACATTCAGCTGACGAAATCACAATCTTTTGAACTTCTTTGATTTCCTGTCACTCTATATGTGTCTGAATTGTATTGTAACTTTTAGGATCTTTGAAAAATAAACAGTGTCCGAACCTGTAATGTTTGTGGAGGAAATGGTCGATTTATATGTTTGGGGATCAAGATTTGCACGTGCACAGAATTATTGTGTCGAGAGGCTGAGTTTCTGGGAACCGATGAATATTTAAACGGGTACCGTTATTTACATCCATAATTTTTATATGCATCTCACTCTATATATTTCGCTATTAAATTTTTTAAAAAATTACTATTTTCTTTCACATCAAATTCCAATATTATCTTTGTTAAATTCATTAATTTAAATATTATAGATCCATAAAAAATTTATATATTTATCCCATTATAAATACATTCTTAATACAATTTCGAAAATCATTATATTCATCCAATCACTATCAACATTTAATTTGGTTCTTAATTTTTGTTTTCTATATTGTCACGTCGGTGCTTTAATATTTAGGGTCTGTTTGATTACAAGAATGAAATTTGGGTGAAAAGAAAACGAATTTTAGGAAATTGAATTATCTATAACTTATTTTACTGGAAATTATCAATTAAATATGTTTGATAAGTATAATTTTTCACCTAGAAAATATTGAAATTTTAAATCTTTTATATTCGTTTTGCTTTATTTTTCATGAAAATTGTCAATTAAAGGGATAAAATTTGTTATAATTGTGGATGAAATTTGTTTCCATTGCTGAAAATAAAAAGAAAAAGGAAAGTTGGAAAACTCAATTCTCACCAAAACCATAGGAATTGGTTTTCCACAAAACCAAAGAAAATCAATCACGTGAGGGGGAAGGAAACAAGTTGCCGAAATTTTTTTTACAATCAAACATTGAAAAATGTGGAAAATTGAAAATTTCAATGGAAAAATGGAAATCAAACAGGGCCTTAGTTATAAAGGTTAGCATATTCCTTTTTTTTTTTTTTTAATTTATAGGATTTTCTCAAAAGTATACTGTTCACGCAACCAAATAATCCCTCCTTGAATCATATATTAATTAATTTCTTTTGCTTATAAACTCATAATTTTGGTTGTTAGTATTTTCGTTGATAATTTTAAATTTGTTTCATTTTATAATGTAAGAATATTTGGATAAGTATTGAAACTTATTTTGAAATTTTTCCTATATTTTCATCTGTCAAATCAATATTTAAAAAAAAACATAAAAAATAAGATTTCATTTTCATATCATGAAAAATTATAACTCTAATAATGTCTTGATTTTTTTAATTTTTTTTTATGTTTTATTTCTATTGAAGAAGATATTTTATGATTAGAGTTTTATGATTTTAGTTAAAGATGATGTTTTATGATTATTAGAATTTTATTTAAACAGAAACTTTAAAAGAATTTATGAAAAATAAATATTAGTGGATGAATTTAGAACAATATATTTTTATTCAATTTTATATATGTCTATTTAGGTAAATTTAAATAGATCAAAAATATAATACAATGATCTTTTTAAGAGTGAATGTATATATAAAGACTGTGGATATAAATAATTGTACCTATTAAAACATGTAAATTGAGTCCTTGTGCAACATAAATGGTTAATTTGTGGATTATAAACTTTCACATTACTTAATTTGGAGATGGTTTGACGGTTTTGTCCTCGAATTAGATGATCGCATATGCTTTTGAAGTCTAAATTGACCGTTTTCATCACAGGGGACCTAGATGCATATACTTAAATAATTTGGGGGACCCAAAATTTAATTTTGAAGATTGAGGACCATAATTGAAAATTTCTCAAAAACTAACATTCATCTCTTTCCCTCTTTATTTGTGGAACAAACACGAATCTCACTCTCATATGCGTAGACCCATCAAGAATCAACTATAACGACTGAGTGAAAAGGTGCTAAGAACATTTTCAATCTTTGTTCTCTCTGTGCATATTCTATCACCACCTCCACATCTCTTTATACTGTAATGTCATCTGATTGTCACTTACTATGAATACTGTAGTTCTTGAATAGATCGTTTATTTTGTCAATTGGGTTCAATTCTGCGAAACAGAACGTTTCAATTTTGTGGGGGTAATGGCGGGAAATGTAACCGTTGAGGACGTCTTCACTATTTTCAAAGGCCGTCGAGCTGGCCTTATCAAAGCTTTCACCACCGGTATGGTATCTCTCTTTTTCGATTACTGTTTCATTTTATTGCGTTCTGTATTTTTAAGCATGATGATTCTATTTTTTTTTTTTTTTTACTTTTTGTACAAATATATTGCTCCCGTATATGTGTTTTATGGATGTATACAGATTTGCTTACCCCTCTACGAGCAAGAACGTGAATTCTTTATATTTATATCTGGTTCTTGAATTTATTATAATCTCAAATTCTTTTGGGGTCATTGCAGATGCTGAGAAATTTTACGAGCAGTGCAATCCTGGTGAGTTTATGTTTCATATTTTTATTTCTTGAACTTGGGACCCTTTTTTCTTTGCTTATTAACTTTGTGTCTTATGCTTGTTGTATTTGTATTTATAGTTCTTTTTCCTTCTAGTGTCTTTTGTTAAGTTTCTGTAGATATCGATACGATACTGATAGTACTATTAACTGGTAATTACGGGGAGTTATGAAACTGTTTCATAACACGTTTTAACACCAAAGTATATAACAATTTGGTTTTGCTATGGATAAGATTCAAAGTGGCCTTTTTTTTTCAGTTGTTCATGTTCTGTTGAATTCAGGATTGCTCGTTCTTACTTTTCAGTTTTCACCCATTCTGATGATTTAAGTTCAAATATATGTAGTCCATGGTTGTCTCTGACTGCGTTGATGTTTTACAGGAAAGGAGAAACTCTGTCTCTTTGGATATCCAAATGAAACATGGGAAGTAAAGCCTCCTGATGAGACGTTGCCTCCTGCAGTTCCCGAGCCGATTATTGGTATTAACTTTGCCAGAGATAAGATGCAAGAAAAGGAGTGGTTTTCAAAAGTTGCAATTCTCAGTGATGGATGGCTACTGTCTCTTGCATTCTGCTATGCTTCTGCCTTTAAATTTGGTAAGAGTGAAAGGTAATATATCTTTTACATTGCTGTCTTTCCAGTGAACTGACTTTTCTGATCCTCTGATCTTCCACAGATTGGTTCTTGATGTTCATCACATCGAATCTAAATCCTTGTATTGAGATCGAAAACCAAATTATAATCCAAAATTATGTACCATTAGCTCCAAACGCATTTCAAGTAATTGCAGCCTGTGTGGATTAATATACTTCGAGCATTCCAGTAGATGATGGCGTATTTTTGTGTGTTCGCTTTGCTAGTAACATTAGATGTCTATATATATCATGGATTTAAACTATTTTTCTTCCAACTTTAGTCGAAATTTGTTTTATCAGGAATAAGCTATTCCAGATGATTAATGATCTTCCAACGATGGCTGAAGTTGTAACTGAAGCTGGGAAGCCAGCAAAAGACATGACAGCTTCTGCTTCTGCTTCTGCTTCTGCTGCTGCTCCTGATAACAGCAAGAACAGATCCAGAGGGAAAACGGTATGTACATTTCTTATAATGGTTCAGTCTTCTGTTTTCTCATTTACTTGCTTTATGAAGCTTATCTATTTTTGCTTCTCTTTGCAGTCCCTGCAGTTGAAACCCCCTGAAAAGGCGCTTAACATGTTTACAAGTTACCAAAGAAGAGGTGAAGATTAGAGAGGAAGAAAACGATTAACAAAGAGCAACACTGTGGTGCTTATGGAGACATTTATGAAAACGATGGATTCTCGATTTTCTTTCATGAATGCAAGAGATATTTCTAATCCCTGAAGTTTACTTCAGATGGAATCAAATTTTGTGAATTACTTTGCACTACTGTCACTCAATATGTGTCTAAATTGTATTGTATTCTACGGATATTTGAGGATATAAACAGTGTATGAATCTGGAAAAAAAGCTATACGTATCAATATCATAAGTAAGAAAAACTGTATCTCAACTATTCGTTAAGTCTTGGAAATGCATATAATATAAAGCCCATTTTGGCATACAGTAAACATACCAAGAATATTTATTTGTAATCTTAATGCAAAAATTCATGGAATGTTGTTCATCATAGGGAAGTGGAGTAGCATCATAAGAGTAGTTTGGGTCGTATGAGAAATATTCTAGAAGTGCCCTTAGACAGGGGCGGACCCAGACCTTTAGTATTTTGGGGTCAAAATTTTAAAAATAATTTTTTTAATAAATGACATAATATCAATGAAAATAAGTTTATATGTATTTTGACATTTTGAAAATGTCGTATAATTACATCATTATTAATATTATTAAATAAATTTTGCTATTTGTATGCTTTTGTTTATCATTTCATTAGCAAATGCTAAGTTAACATTCAGTAAATTAAATGGAATATAGAAATTAAATTAATTAAAATAAAATTCAAGTTTAATTCAGAAAGTAAATGAAATTCAAATTTAAAGCAAATATAATTCGAAAGTAATACAAATTGCATTTAATCCATAACGACCCTCAAAAATTTACATCATAGTTTATGTAAGACTTCCGAATGAAACGATATAAATTATATTGAAAAATTTATCGTGCAAAAATAATAATTAATTGAATTTTTTAAAAGAAAAACGAGTTAGACGTCTTTTTTGAGGCGTACGTTTGATACATATTTAACTATTTTTAATATCCATTTAGACCATTCGATATGAAAACGATGTAGTTTTCGAAACTGATAAGTGTAATTTCTACACTTATTTGGGATCTTAAATGATAATATTTTGTTATTCTTTGAATGGATTAGTACCTGATTTGTTATTTATTACTTTTATTAGGAAAAATTCTTGTTTCAAAAAAGAATTGAAAAAAAGAACGGAAAATGACTAAATGAAGCAAATCCAAAGCATGGGGACCAAAGTGTAAATATTTAATGGTTGATTTGGACCACAAAAGATACTTTGAAGATTTATAGGAGTCAATTGAATGCGAATTGGAGTAAAAAAGGAAGGGGATATGATTAGAATATTACCATAAATCGATTTCAAATCATATAAGATATCTTCAAGATTTTTGGTCAACTTGAACCCATTTTTTGGATGGAGAACGTTTGAATTAGAAAAATTTCATTTCTAGAAGAATTGTAACTCTTTTAACTAGCTTTCCAATGCATTTTGAATCATCTAAATCGGATACTAAAAGAGAAAGTTATGATCAAAATACTGAAGGCTATGCAGAGAAAAAATTACGTGCGCGCGAGGCAACTTTCCTTATTTGATTCAAACTCTTTTGGAAGACAATTTGGACGTGAATTTTAATCTAATTTCATCATATAAATACAAGATATGGGCAGCAATGAAAGGGTCTCTCTCTTGCCTCTTCGTGCACAAAATTTCATCAAATTCATCAAGAATAAGGGGCCAATTGCTAAATTTTGGGAGAGAAGATTAAGCCATAACAAGGAATTGAAGTTCAATTACATCAAGTTTTGAAGAATTCAACTTTGGACATGAAGATCAACACTTTTGTAGTCTTTCATGATCCGAGTGATATTTTTCTATTATTCCTCTTGTAATTTATATATTAATATGCTAAGCTAGTTTTTCATGGTATTAGATGAATGATGAATCCTATCATTTGTTTATTTTAATTCAAGACAATTAATTTAGTATTTCATGATTTTTTCTTGATTGGTTTTGCATTCCCATTGAACTATTTAATTGCTTGACCACCAATTAGATAGTAAGTTGCTTGTTGCAGTGTAAAAATATTCACAATAAATCTAGAATGCGATAAAATCAACACATGGACAATATATGTTAGGAATAAATCAATGACATGTGCAATCATGTGTGATAAATCCTGTGAATCAATGCATGTTTTTCATATGAATTTGGATTAGGAATAGGATCGGGTCGTGTTAAACATAGGTTTAATATATTTTTGGAAAGAATATTGAATAAAAGTGGATTATCGATTGTCTTGAATGCATGAATTTACTAGATTATAAATTAAGAGTTGAATTAAATGGCAATAGGGGGATTCATGATTCCAATACGAATATTCACATATTAGATAAATATTTTATTTGCTTTCTTAGTTTAAGATTAGTATAGAAAACATACAAATCCCATTTTTATTTTATTTTATATTACTTCGAATTTAGTAAAAATACTTAATTAAATATTAGACCTTATTTCTCGTGGGAACAATACTCTTAACTCAAAAATTTTATTACTTATACAACAATCCCGTACGCAAACTTTTACATGGTATAGATGATTTGTAAATTCAGATAGGACACGATCGCAAACGAATTTTTAAAGTTAGGATATTATCGAAATTCTCAAAATACTAGTTTCAAACGCCGTACTTTAACATGTCATAACTTTCGCTATAGTTGACCATTTCGCATACCATTAATGAGTGAAAAACTAGGCCATGAGCATTTCGAAATGATATTAAGAATGTAATATTTTGACTTTATTTGGCATCCCGACGGGTGCATCAAAGTAGATTATAAAAAAATAAAAAATAAAAACAAAAATAAAAACGGAGGCAAAATTTTGTGGGGTCAAATGACCCCACATGACCTCATGTGGGTCCGCCCCTGTCCTTAGGAGCTGCCTATAGGGATGACCATGATAGTCGTGGTCATTGTGGTAACCTCTTTCAATTCTTGAATGGTTGAGTTTGGCCCATAAAAGCTCGCTCTGTTGTCCAGTTCTTGATAAGGCTGCTATAGGTAGGTTTGGATCTAACTCGTCCCATCGGCATTGAGCGTTACAGTATACACACTGTTGATTAGGTGGCTTGTATTTTATGTATATGAGGCTAGTTGACGGAGGGAACGGGAGGGCACGAGCCGGTATTGTATTGTAAAGGTAATTTTGGGATTAGGGTTTAAAGTTAATGGATTATTTTGTGCCATACAGTGGACATAGACACGTATTCGAACCACTTAAATTTCTATGTATTGATCTTATGTTTTTCTTTCTTTTTGGTTATATTGTTCACATTTGCTCAATACCTTGCCAAAGGAGATAAACAAAGCCTAATTAGCTTATGTTTGGCCCCCATTAAATTATAATTCATTCTTTCTCTTTTATTTTCAACCACATAATCTTCCACAAAATAATATTACACGTAAATTTAAAATTTTTCCTTCCTTCTCAATCGCACATTCTTAGAAAAATATTATTCCAAAAATTATAATTTCATATAATGGTGGCCAAACGGAGTCTTTAGTATGAAAGAGTTTTCATTTTCAAGGTTTTTCATTGAATATGCAAGTGCTAACTACCTTGTCTAAAAATTTAAATTTAATCTTCAACACACAATGTAAAGTGGATTCATTTTTTTTAGCCAAGATTAGACACGTGCACACTTTTCCGTAAATGGATGAAGGTGAGACTTAATCTTCAGTCTTTTATATCACTTTAAAACCATTTTGATCACTTTATTTAAAAGCTCACATGATTGGAATAAGACGAGAGAGACGTGGTCTTCTTCCAAAGCAAGAACTAAGCATATTGGGAAAGTGAAGAAGCTCCAAAAGAGTGTAGGCAGCATCACATATGTAAGAATATGTTTGTTGACTAGCAATGATTTTGACACAAGTCTGTTCTTTAATTATCGACACTGTCTTCATCCTCCAAACTCTTTCTTAACAATCTCAATCCAGCCTTAATTATTACACATAACATTACAAAGGAATGAGAGTCCATTTTATCCACCCGAAGTCGTTGTGGATTATGACATGTTTGTTTTTATCCACAATCGATATTCGCTTTAGTCTCCGTTCCTTTCATTTTGAGCTGGTGAGAATCAACGAGTTCAACATGCGAGACGCTTATCTTGTTTCTCGATGATCAATTGGTGTTTTGGTCGACTTTCTCGTAAAAATCGTGTATGATATGGCAAATTGAAAGTAACTCCGCCATGATTGTGATCATCTTCAATACTTTCCCCATGTCATGCCAAGGTTCGATCAATACAAATGAAAGCCAAGCCACAGCTACAACTACTGGCACTTCAAAAGGCGTGGTCCAATTCGTTATTTTCCTTGAGAGGCATCAACAAAAAATTAGAATGGAATGAGATCAATTGTACTAGAAATTATAATGGTCTAAATCTCTTTGATATATAACAACTAAAAACTACACATGAGGTAGAATTTGAGCACGTTCTATGTCTGCAAAGATTGCAAATTATCCATTTAACCATGACTAATTATTTTGCTTATGTATATCTTAATCACAAAAGACAAGTAACCGTTGGAGATGGGATCGAACAAGATGGGTAATTGCCCCCCGAGGCACAGCTCAATTGGTGGATCAATCAACATTGTCTTACTTCTAGCGACAGGGTGGAGAGTTCGATTCCTAGTGAGTACCTGCGGTCAAAAAATTTGGTATGAAGCAATCACTGTGGAGGAGGGTCTCTTGTGTGCAGAAGTGTACAGACAATGGGGGAACCTGTGATCCAGTTGAGGCATAACCCGCGATTTACCCCCTCCAAGGTTCTAGGGACATGAGTCTTGTGGGTCTAGGATTTAGTCTGGTATAAGTTGGGATACCTGGATATCAAAAAAAGAAAAAAAGAAAAAGATGGGTAATCGAATTAAGAAAGGATCGAGGTGGGTCTTACCACATACTATTGCAATATAAAATGGATTAGAGTTCCAAATTTAGCCCTGGTCCACTCACACGTAAGAAAAAAATACTAACGAATTTCTCCATAGAACGAAAGTGTTTCATTATTACACTATCAAACTTCGTACTCCAAATTAATCACTGTGGGCCCTCCTAATTATGCCTCAATTATGATGGCTATAACTTTGTACTTGGCTAGGATTTGAAATAATTGCATTATTATAAACTAGGAACGGCAACTTCATCCAAACTTTAAATAATAAAAAGTAGAAAAAAGTTGCTTATAATTTATAATGAGTTTGTTTACATTAATTTGATATTTTAATATACGTACTTGTAGTAGTGGATTCAAGGATTCAAGTAAGCACGAATGGACCTAAGTGAGCATAGACAACTATCATACGATTGCCCAATGTAAAGGAAAAAAATTTTGAATGAGCAGCATGGGCGATCGTAAAAAATCGTTAGGTATCGGCTCCATCCCTGAGTACTTGTTGCAGCGAATAATTGAAAATAATTATCTTCACTACATACTAGTCAAATCGAACACTAGAGAAAATTCTCTTTAATTGTTTTAAGTTTTTAGAAATAAAAAAAAAACCATAAAGAAAAAGTAGCGGTGGAAATAAGAAAAAATTGAAAATGACTTTCCAGAAAATAAGTCAATCATATCAAGCCCTCGTTTGATTTTCATTAATTTTTATTTCGTTACATTCAATTTTTCCCTTTTATTTTCAATCACACAATCTTTTATAAAATAATATTACATGTGAATCAAAAAAATTTCCTTCTTTTTCAATCAGTCATTTTTTAAAAAAAAATAAAATTATGGGAGTGTTTGAGCCCCATTATTTTAGTAATAATGCATTCTTGAATAGTATATTGATGGGAAATGTGTGGTTAAAAAATAAGAAAATTTTTTTGATTTACTTATAATATTATTTTATTGAAGAATGTGTAATTGAAATAATATCAAATCATTATTTAAGAATGCATTTTTTTGGAATAATATTACTCAAACATATTCTATTCCTTCCATTTTCATTTTTAAAAAATGGGGTCAAATGGGGGCAAAATACCAGCAACTCCACTCTTGTATGGGGATTTGCTGCAATAACAAAACGTGTAAGAAACTGTAAACAAGGAGACGAAATGAGAAGTAAATCTCAGACAAATGCCCACTCTTTATGAGAGAATCTTTCGACTCTCAAAACCATTCTTCCTTAGCCGGCTTTTCACTCTTCCATTTCACTTCATTTCTTCGATTTTAACCAAAAAAGAAGAATCTTTTCTGTCCCTTCTCACAATTTTCCTTTGCATAAAAATGGAAAGAATTTCCTTCATGATTCTTGAAAGAGGAACCCTATACTCACCACTGCTAGTTACAGTATAGTTTTACTAGCTCTAAATTCTTAATTTCAGCCAGCGTATTTAAGGCCATTGAAATAAGTTTGATGAAGGGAAAAAAAATATTTCAGATCTGCATTTAGTGGACTTACCATCTCTTGAACATCACCACTTTTCATTTTCCTCACACGAGTCTTGGCCACCGTGTGGGACTAAAATGCGTCGAATTTCTGTTTTGCTGCTGTGGTGGGTTCTGATAAATTGAGTTGATATAAGATTTTTTTGGTTAGAAATGCGCGGCCGAGGCGGGATGGTGGCTGGTGGCAGTGGTGGTGGTGCAATTGATCCTAGAAACCTGCATTTGAAGAAAGAGTTGACGCAAATTCGGAAGGCTGCCCGCGTGTTAAGGGACCCCGGGACCACTTCCTCATGGCGGTCCCCGCATAATTCAGCGAGATCCATTGCCAAGAACCATCATTTTCACCATCACAACAATGGCGGCCGCCACTCAATTGATGACAACGTCTTTCGTTCTTCCTCTCAACAATTGGTTCAACTCCCGTTGCAAGTTGAAAAAGGTAATAATTATAGTAATAGTAGTAATGCTAACAATAATGCCAATGTAAACGTGGTAAAAAAAGATAGAAAGGTATTTCTGTATAATTGGAGGAGTCAAAAATCCGAAAGCGAAAGTAGGCAGATTGGTGAGGATGATGTTGAAAACGCTAAGGATGACGGGTCATCTTCGACTACGGAGGAGAGTGCGGACGTTGATAGCTCGAGTGATGCGCGAAATGGTGGTGCAAATGATTCCAAGAGTGATACTTGTTTGAGTGACAGGTACGCTTCTGGGATTTTTAAGTGCAAAGATACCATTTTTAGGCCTTCTACTAGGCGCAAAAATAAGAAGTCGAAGAGGAGTGATTATTATAGTGCCAGTTTGAGGCATCATAATGTAAACTTGAAGAAACAAAATATATCGAGTAGAGACGCAAAATATGTAGTGGAAGGTATCGCTGATTTGGGTTTAGGAAGGGATGATTTGGTAAGTTTGATGGATCAGTCTGATGATACTGAGGACTTTCCTAATTCTGATGATTTAAGGAGGGAGTCTGCCATTTTACCATTGCTTGCCAGGCTTCAGAATAAGGATTGTGTTCGTTCACCGTCGAAGCTGTTGAAGAGTAATAGAAAAGAAAATGATTCTATTTCATCCATTACTCCAGCATTGTCAACGAGTTCTTTTAAATTTGGTGATAGGAATCCGAGTACTATTGGGTCGTGGGATGCTACCACAGCATCTTTCAATAATGCAGAAGATGAGGTGGAAGACCACTTGGATTTGTCAGGGATACTTGGCTGCGGGATTCCTTGTTATTGGTCAAAAACGTCAATGCTGAAGTTTAGAGGGAATGGCAGTGGTTCGCCATCTCTTTCTGATACTTTAAGGAGGAAAGGAAGCAGCATTTTCTGCGGAAGTCAATCCTTATCCCAAAGAAGACATCATCGGTCATCTTTGGTGTCCAACAAGAGGAGACAGAGTTCAAGGCCCGCTGCTAAAGGTGTCCTTCCTTTGCTTAGCGCTGACAGCCAAGAGGGATCGTCTATGGGAAGTGAGAAAAGTGATAATGAGCTTACCACAACTTTTGGAGAGCTTGATTTGGAGGCTATGAGTCGGTTGGATGGAAGGAGGTGGTCTACAATCTGTAGGAGTCAAGAAGGTTTAGCACGAGTCTGTCTGAATGGGGAAATCATCGAGGAAAATTCTCCGGAAAATATCAAAAGTCTTAGCTGGAAATATAGGCCAATGTTTTTCAACGAATTGTTTGGGCAGAAAATGGTTGTTCAGTCACTCAAGAGTACGATTTCAAAGGGGAGGATTGCCCCAGTTTATCTTTTCCACGGTCCCCGTGGGACTGGAAAAACATCAACTGCAAGAATTTTTGCTGCTGCTTTGAATTGCCTTGCCACTGAAGAGACTAAGCCCTGTGGTTTCTGCAGGAAGTGTGCTGATTTCTTATCTGGCAAGAGCAAGAATCACCAAGAAGTTGACGTTTCCAATAAAAATGGAATTGATAGAGTCAAAAATATTTTCAGAAATCTAGCTGGGGTTTCCTCATCGACCGTTGCGCAGTATAAGGTTTTTGTCATTGACGAGTGTCACTTATTGCCCTCGAAGACATGGCTGGCATTTCTTCGATTTCTTGAGAAACCACTGCCACATGTCATGTTCATATTAGTTACAACTGATTGTAACAATATTCCCCGTACTATATTGTCCAGGTGTCATATGCACCTCTTCAACAAAATTAGCAACAGCGACATTATTATCCGATTGAGGAAGATCGCCGCTGACGAGAACTTAGATGTTGAAGCAAATGCATTAGATTTGATTGCTTCGAATGCAGATGGTTCGCTGCGAGATGCAGAAACATTGTTAGACCAGTTAAGTTTGTTGGGAAAAAGAGTCACGACTTCCTTGGTAAATGAACTTGTGAGTTTAAATTACCTTTCTTCCTTATGTCATTGTGTTTGAATCTACTACTTTACTTTGTCACTAACATTGCTTTACTGTAAGCCACTATAAAATCTTATGTGGTTTTTTAATAGTAACATGTTTAATGAAAACTGTCATGTTGCAAAAATGTTAGCTGATAAGTTTTAATTATTGTTTGCATTTCATTCTTCTTTTTTCTGACTGACCTGTGAGACTGCGCATATCAGGAAAGTTTTGTTTCTATTCATTTGCTTTACCAAAAATCTGATTTATTGAAAGAACATTCTTTCTTCCATGTAGATTGGGGTTGTTTCTGATGAGAAACTACTGGTCCTACTGGAGTTAGCCATGTCATCAAACACCACAGAGATGGTGATAAAAGCCAGAGAATTGATGGATTCAGGGGTTGATCCAATAGCTCTAATGTCTCAGCTGGCGGCCATTATTGTAGATATTATTGCGGGAACTTACCCAAACATTGATGCCAAGCTCAATAGTTCATTCTTTGGTGGAAGAAGTTGTAAGTGCCACTCTGCTCTTATTTCCAGTAAGTTGCATTTTGAGTTTTATGATGGTAAATAGATCTGCAAAATTCAAGTTTCCCTAGGTGTTCATCCAGCCAAATCAGCACTGTGGACACTGGTGAAATTTTGGTGTATTAAAGTACTACCAAGTATAAAGTTGAATGAAAACTTCAAAGCTAATCAGGTGCTTTGTTAATTTTTTGCAAATGAAAAAAGACAGTTCTGTATACTATAACACCCCAAAACCTATATCCTGAAGGTTATTCAGATAATCACTTTAGCCATTATAAAAGTTGATTGACACATTATAATACAAAAAATTTTGAAGAACTTTGCAGAATAAAAATAAGTTATTTTATTGTCTCATAAAAACATCAATTAATATAATCCACTACTGTAATATAAATCCAACACTTATTTTTAAAAATTCAACTTCGATTTTGAACATTAAAAAAATAAAATTCTAATTTGAAAAATAGTTTTTTAACTAAATACTAAATATTGAAAGAATATCTTAAATTCTTGATCCAACGACATGGACTCTCTCAGCAGTTTCAACCTCCAACTCCGACTCATGAGCATCTGTAAAAATATTTTAAATATGGAATGAGCAGACGAATACACTCAATATAGATTTCATGCTAGTATTTTTATAATTTAATAAAAAAGCAAGTAACGTACGCACATAACATAGTTTTCTAGTGGGATAGAAACCTGACCGTCTCATTCTTACTTAAGTCATATCCATTCTCAATCTCTATTGGGGTATTTAGCCCTATAGCTTGTTTTTGTGTAGATCTACATCATAATACTTTATGGTATTACCAACAAGATCCTTCTTTAATTTGGATCACATAATAACACATAAAAATACTTTACTTAAAACATTAAAAAGTGAAAACACAAAATCACTTGGCACATGTCGAAATCCATACCTTATTTGTTAAATTGCTTGTAAACTTGAGCTACTTAGAATTGAAAATTCTTGCGAACAAATCTCGAACGCGCTAGAAAACCTTTTCTTTTCCTTTCTTTTTGTTTCTTCTCTCTCTCCTTTTTTTTTTTCCCTCTTTCTAACTTTTCTCTGCCTCTTTCTCTCTTTTTTTCTTCCTGAATTTATGTGAATTGAAGTGCAACAACAAAAGGGTATTTATGAGTATGGTTTGATAAGGATAGTTAACTAATTAGAAAGACCTGTGTTTTTGGTAAACAATCGCCCGAGCCTATTCTAATAGGACTCCTAATTCAAATTTAGATTAATCTTTCAACAAACAAACTTATTATGGAATTCGAATTTAAAAAAGATTATAACTACATGATGATACTTCCAATGTGAATATATGCAAATTTCGAGTTTTATCTAAATACTTTTATATCAGATAATTCAAGAATAATTTAATAGATATTCAAAATAATATTAAAATTTCTGAAAAAGGGAAAGTTGCTAGGTTACCTCAAAATCTCAAAACTTGCATTTATGCCTCATAATATTTTGGACATATTTTTAGGGTATTACATATATTCTTTCTGTCTTTCTTCTTAGGGGTTTGAAGATATGATTAAATTTGGAAAAAATCTTATGTAAAGCACGAGTAGGATTCAATAATTCATATAGAAGTGACCATCTTAAAGTGCAGCTAAGATGAACCTTTTTTTGTCACTGCACATTATGATATGTTTAAAGTTTATCAACTTGCACATCCGTTGAACCTTTTGCGGTATATTTCATTTGAGGCCATTAATTTTTTTATTTTTTAACCTTATGGTATTGTAACTTATTCCAAAAATTATGACTTTTGTACGCTTCACTGAATCAAAAGCTCATCTTGGCCTTGTGTTTCTCCTCCTCATTGGCACCTAAAGGTTTTTGGCAATGACACAATTATTGCACCCTACATCTCTCCTGAGGCAATTCACAAGATCTAGATCATCACGTGCTCCAAATTGTCATGCCTACACCCTTTCCCTTAAAAATATTTGGACGAGTAATTTGAAGATTAACATAAAAATGATAAGTTGTCATGACTGAGTCATGTATATTTTAATGACGTAACAGCCAAAATTGGGCTGATATTTTGCATGACTGCACAATGATTAAATGAGGAAATAGTCCGTGCGATCTATAAAGTATGAAACTTATTATGACATGGATCTGATATATCCTGTAATCATCATACCATCAGGATTCTGCAACATTTGCAGGGAAATAGACGTTATAGTTATAGATAAGAACAGTTAAAATTCTTTAACCCGTTAACAAAATCACTCTGAATTTTTCCTGTAAGTCTGCTAAAGTGGGACTAGATTATCCCAGATCAAGTCTTTTCTGTTAATCCCTGAATCCCCATTAATGCGCTGATGTCAAAACGTTAGCAAGCATATTAGTGAAAAGTTAAATACGAAGCTCAAACTGTTCATCTGACTATGCAAGAAGTTGGTTGTTGGTAGGCTTCACTGTTTTTCGCTGCAAAATTCTAATCGTGTTGTTTGTTCCAGAGTAAGTTTCCGGACCAGAGGTAGGCCAAGGGAGTGTGTTAGATAATGGTAACACAATCTACTGCATCAATAGGGTGATAAATTGGTTTAGGGTGTCAAATCTATTCGAGATATTATGGTTTCTCTACTTGCCCAATTAATATATTTATCCTTCATTTTCATGCATTCAACTGGTTCACCAGAGATTAATGTGGTCTTCTGTTAAATTGATCTGCATGTTTGGAGACCACCTCGGGCATGTCATATTCATCATGTCTTACTTTGGTGTCGAAGAAAGACTGAAATATGGGTTAATAAAAATTGAGGAGGGGAGTCAAAGTCTCTTAGGTGTCAGTACCACAGATATAGCTGGAGTTCACAAGCAAACCCGTATTATTACCTACAAGGATCTTGGCAAAAATCTCTCCAGAAAGGGTGGTATTTAGCCACTACACAACCATTTGATCCTTCCATAACCATGACAGATTAGGAACAAAAGAGATACGAGAATTTTGTCACCTGTTGTGGATTTCGTCACCCCGAAAAATGTCTTGGTTAACATTAGTAAAAATTGCCTATACGTGCTTTTGTGCCATTAGAGTTTCTGTCTGCTTATACAATCCTAACATTTGGGGCTGACTGTATAATTCATTCTTCATCATTACATTCTGTTGGAGCTTAGTTGCTAGATGTACTGGCAACTTGTGTCTCCTTGTATAAGTAATCAAATATATGTGTAGTATGTCGCCTGTCAATCGGACAGAAAACAGTCTTCAGCAGGATATTCTATTGCATCCGGCTTTATTAAATGTAAAAATTTTCCTCTTCTGTCTCGGTATGATCTATTGCTATTTTGAGATTTGTGGAATAAATGCAGTCAATATCAATTCACACGATTAACATTTGTCTTCGAGTATTTTTATTGGTGAATTTTACACGGTCTCTCCTTCATTAAATACAGTAATGTTTTTTGTTAAGCATGATTCTAATGTTACTAGACATGCCTGGATCGATTTTTCAGTGTCTGAAAGAGAATTAGATAAATTGAAGCATGCGCTGATGCTTCTTTCTGAGGCAAAAATACATCTGAGAGTTTCAAGTGAGCAGTCGACGTGGTTCACGGCAACCCTTTTACAGTTAGGTTCAGTCCCTTCACCAGATCGAACTCAGTCAGGAAGTAGTCGAAGACAAAGCTTCAAGACAAATGGCCAGCATCACATTCATACGTTCAGAGAAGCTACTGCACAGAAACAGAGATCTGATGCTGCCAATTTCAATCCCAGTAGCAGCCAATCAATCGATTATGAAGCATTGACCATCAGACACAATGACTTCTTAAGTGGGAAAAGTAAATCAAGACACATGAACACTAACACGTTGATTGATATTTGGGCGCAATGCGTTGAGAAGTGCCATTCAAGAACTTTGAGGCATCTGCTTCATACATATGGAAAGCTCGTGTCAATATCTGAAGTTCAAGGTAAGCATGATTTATGGAAACTCCAGATACAATTCTGAAATTAGAACCATACTTCCTAGTTTTCTTTAGTTGTTCACGTCAATCCTTTTATTAGCTTTATCCTTCAGCCGCTCCTATCATAATCATGGGAATGGAATTAGGGAATGAGAATCAGACTTCGAATAGCATTTTGTATCTCTGCATAAACATGACTGGTGCTTGGAACTACCAACTCCTATCATATATTAGCATTTATTATTTATTATGGACGAATAATTGAATGACTGGGAGTCATGTTAATTAGCATACTTGTGATTTGATCTGACTCATGCCGTGTTATAATAACTTAATCACTTTGTGTATTTCACTGGGACAATAATAGCATCTTGTGTTCATTTATTTGGTATTCTTGAGGCTTACAGCTTTTGTGTGCAGGTTGTTTTGTTGTTTATATTGCATTTGCAGATAGTAATATTAAAACCAGAGCAGAAGGGTTTCTTAGCAGTATCACGAACTCATTTGAAATTGTTCTACGACGCAATGTGGAGGTTAAAATTATCCTGTTACCCGATTCCTTCAGACAGAAGCAGATGGATCCTATCATTTCAATGGAGAATGAGAACAAATCAATATGCTCGAGTGCAATAGAAGCCAATTTGAACCTTGATTCACGTCAGAAGCCACCAAAGGTATCAAGGGGAAGCTTTATTGAGTCCAAAGGACATCAAATGGAGCCCTCTGAGAGTGGAACTGGGAATGATCGGGTGCGGAGAATTGAATCCATTATCCGTGAGCAGAGACTGGAAGCTGCAAGGTTGCAGGCCATGGAGAAAGATGCTCATGCATCAACGAACCGTTTGAGACCCGAAAGGAATCAAGTCTTGCCCCAGGATGGCTCATTTCATCAAAATAACATGGATTCATTGACTTCCATAGACTTACCCTTGCAGCACTGGGAAGACGAGTTAAATCGTGAAATCAAAGCTTTAAAGATTAATGAAGGAACTGAATCTCAAATGGACGATGTTATTAAGAGGATCAGTCCTTACCCCATCTCTCCAAGCTTGTTGCATAATAGCAGATTTGCAACCAATTTCAGCAGAGATAACATGTGAGTAATCCAACTGGGTGTTTCGCTCCGAAGACAGAGTTAATACAAATTCTTCCTCTTGTTCTTAAACTAAAGTGTCAAATTTACTCGTCGCTTTGAATTTCTAGTAAATATAGCAGCAAAAGTTGAATGAAGGGAGTTTTTCTACACCCAAATTCCAATGCTTTTTTCGGCTTCTTTTGCAGGGGATATGAATCAGGATTGGTAGGTGGCGGTTGCAGTGGGCTTTTCTGTTGGAATAAAAGCAAAACTCACAGAAGGGAAAAGGTGGGCTATTCAAAAAAAATTTTTTAACAAGTTTGTATGCAGGAATCAGATTCATATTATCTATTATGGAAGCCTTTGACACTTCTTGCGTGTTATAAACAGGTTAAACGATATGCACCAACGCACAGGTGCAAAAGCAGACGATTTTCATGGTTTGGAGAGTGTGCAAAATCGAGAAGAACACATAGCAGATACAAAATATAATAGAGTAGGGTAAGATTTTGTGTTTCAACTGATTGTTTATGTTTTTACAGGCTTAACTTCGCTATTCGGGTAAAACGTAGAAGTTTTAAGGATCAATAAGAACATGGTTATGTAAAGTTACTTTGTCCTTGTTTGAACCTTAATTTTTGAAACTCCTTTTCATTTTTTCCTTTTTTACAACGACCATGTGGCTATTGTGCCTCTTCAGAGCACTCAACATTTGTCTACCGGATTTTACCCTAGCAAAGCCCATCGAAGATAGTGTTGTAAACCACTAAAGCAAGAAGTTTTGGTCTAAGAGGCACGGATATGTAATTCAAAGACGATACAATATAGGTATGTCGATAGGAGTTTTAAAAAAAAAATAAAAAAATGGATACATGTATACGTAGTATAAAATTTAATATAATTTTATTATTATAAAAAAATATTAAAATAAAAGCATAATAATAAAATATTAAAATATTTTATCTTAATCCTTAATTATTCCAACTTCATTTTCTTTAACTTCATCAACATTAGCTTCTTCATTATTATAAAAATAATATCTCGAACTCTTGACTCATCTAATGATAAATTAGAAATATCAATCAGTCCAATAACTTCAAGAGTATGAAATGAATCTCCAATAATATTCTACATTTGGGATTATAAAAAGTAACGTTTAAATAAACTGGGAAAGAAAAAAAAATAGAAATTATATTTTTAAGTTGCAAATGCTGACAAAAATGTTTGTTTAAGAAAGCAATACATAAACAACCAAAAAGCCTTATTTGACTTCCATTTCTTAAGACTCATTGTTCTCAAAATTCAGTTTCAATCACATATTTCAAGGAATCGATAACTTCTATCAATTTTTCAACCACACAATTCATCGACTTTCAAATTCGAAAGGCAGAAACAAGCCAAACCGAGCTGCAAACTGTTAACAGAATGCACGAGTGTGCCTGAAGAAAACCAGCATTTGTCTTTCAGTTAGATGTAGCGGCATCGGATTGCAGCTCGATAAAAAAATTATTTCACGACACCAAAGTTGTGAAAAACAAAGGGAATCTGATGGCAACAATATTTCAATTAGCGACAATGCTCTTGAACTTAGTGATGCAGTCTAATGCACGTTTAAAATCACTTTCTTCCAATGCAAATGTGAATCTACAGTAACCAGGAATTCCAGTCCACACAGCACTGTTAATGCATAAACCGGTACTCAGGAGCATGGCTTCCCTGATATTTGAATCGTCAAGCTTGATTACTCGAGTACTGGAGTCATTCTTGATCTTAACATTCTTCCCAAGATAAGCAGATGGTTTTGCTACAATTGACACTCCAGCTTGAGCTTCGAGCACCTCCCAACCACAATCTTCGAGTGTCTGTTGAGTACATACATCACAAGAACGTGCATTAGATGATGTCACACAAGAAGAGATGATGGAATCACAATATTGGAGCATAGATTATGTCATTTGTCAGGGAGAAATAATTTAGCACCACAAGTTAAGATAAATAGAGAGAAAAAAGCATGTTTGGCTAAGCTTAAAAAGTTTACTCGTAAGTAATTTACTTGTAACAAAACAAGTTTGTTTTAAAGTAAATAAATTTTTAATTGGTCAAAGTCGTAAAATAAGTTACTTATTTTAACATTAAGATAAGAGTTACTTTTAAAAAAATAATTTTCTTTCAAATAAAAGGTAAGTAAAAAAGTAAGTTAAACAAACATGTTTGGAAATAAAAAGTTACTAAAAATGAAATCTTACTTTTTTAAGCAAACCAACGTGCTAATGGTTAAATCAAGGTCACAAGCAGTAGATAAAGATGCCCTTTCAATGTCAAGTAACCTAAACATGGATTTTAAAATGAGTTCAAGACTAATGTGCTGTTGTTTTCAGTTATATTAACAATGCCCGGTCGGAGATTATTACTGAGTGCACAAGCAGCATAATAGGATATAAAAATATGGTTTTGATAAAAGAAAAAGAAGGATATATGTATACAATTAAAAGCTAGTATTTTTTTAACAAAGAAATAGAACGTCCAACATGAATGAAATTCGTTTCTTAAATTCAAGAGTCAAGACATACCTCTTTCAACTGTTTATATCTACTTTCCAGAAGTTCTTTCTTCTCTGCAATAGCATTCACTAAGTCCTTGGATTTCCCCTCTTGAAGATCCAATAATTTCTTCAGCGTGTATTTAATAGTCCTGTGAGGCTTGCTTAACCCTCCAAAGCCATGGAATGCATCCACCAGAGAAGCCTGGTTTAGAAGAAGAAATCCAAATTTGATCCCGCCAGTAAGCATCTTAAAGAACAATCCCCCAAGCAGAGATGCACAAAAATCCGGGTTGTTAGAAGAAAGTTTCTCCAAAGTAGCATCTAGATCCCAGCCATCCTGGCCCTTGGAGTTAAATTCCACCCCCGAGAACGAGGTATCTAGTACAACCCTTGCCCCAAACTCTGCACATACGGTCAATAAAGTCTTCATCTCTTCATTGCTGTAAACCAAACCAGTTGGATTCACAGTTGGACCAGAAATGTAGACCCAAGGTTTATGGACATTTTCCAACGAATTAGCAAGTGTTTTCTCCGTCAACTTAAATCCAACTTCTGGATTGGTTTGGACGTTGATAATAACTGCTTTTAAAAATTTTGCAGCGGACACATAATTCCCATTTGAACCAGTTGGGAAGCAAAAAGTACCCCCCTCTTGAATACAACAGAGTACCAACTTATTGAACAATGCCTCCGGACAATCTGCATATATGAGTTCTGTATTGCCATTAGATGCAAACCCATAACTACTGTGAATCAATTGTTTGATCCCGCTCGTGACATCAGTTTCAGACTCCGCAATATTCTGCCTTGCAAAACTCTCGAAGATGGCAGCCTTAACTGGTGTTGTTATGGGCAAAAAGCTTTGGTCTACATCCATATGAATCAGGGAAGATTCACTGGTTTCATTAATTGATAACTCAGCATGATCGAGGACTGATATGGCAGAACTAGAAAAGCCAATCGCCTTTCTAGTTTTTGCCTTCTCATCTACTCTCTGATGACGAGCAAAGAATCAAGCAATCCATAAGATTACTCAGAAAAGGTTTTATTAGTCAAGCTAGCTTCTCATTAAGTTGCTTTCACTTCTAAAATGTAAGACTCAAGCAATCGCATGGCTTGAGGAAAAGAGTAGAACCATTTTTTCCATAAATCCAAATTTTCATTATAAGAGGGGTGTAGATTCCATACTCAAGGAGTATAGAAAGCAAAGTTCATGAAAAATTTAATGAATCTCAATTCATCTATTTGCAAAAATTTGCATCTTATTTTACTGAAAATTTAAAATGCTTGATCAACAGTATTTGTCAGCTCTCAGCTATATGAACACAACAAACAAAATTTTGCATAAAGGACCATGATTCAGCAATTTGCAAAGCTCCTAGCCAGAAGGAACTATAGACATTATGGAAATCCAAAATTTAAAGACAGTTATACTGAAATCTGATCGATATAGTCTTCCATTATTTATTTCCACTCTCTGGATTGACCTATGTTTCTCCCTTTTAAGCTAAACTGAATGCCAAATATATTGATGATATTCTTTACAATCAGGATGGAAAAGCTCATTTGCTTAGTATTGTCACAAACAAAATTTTAAATGCTCTACCATGCCATGATCTCCCAATGGCAGAATAAATAATGAAATGTGCATCTTATTACATTGACAAACATGCGTATAATAAGTGTGTATGATTTTAAAACATACAAACCTGAGCAGGGTGATGTCGATCAGCAAGCTGAAAAGCTAGAAGCTCGTGGAAAAGACAACCATAGTAATACTGACTGATTATTGCAGTATTTCCTTGTAAAAGTTCCACAGTCTTAGACAATGCTTTAAACATTGTTGCCTCTTCTGATATAACAAAAGCTACTTCCAAATCTGAATAAACCTGGACAAAGAAAATGGTAAATGTAGCAACCCAAAAATTTTTTAGATATAAATTTATTTATTTTGTATATTATATAAATTCCTATTTTATCTGGGTCAAATAAATTAGATTTTGATATAGCAATTATAAGTATATCAATATTGTACTCGTTGGATAGCTCGTAATTAATTAAAAGCCTTTGACTCGAAAAAAAGTTATTTTGGATAATGACACATTAAGTTAGACCCAATTGAAAGAAAATGGTATAAATGTAATTTTATATAGATTATAAATCAATTTATTTTTTTCTCTCCAAAAAGAAAACGTGTGAGGTGGGATTTTTATCATTATTTGTTAATTTTGATTTAGAGATTCCTAGGATGGCACATGTTATTACTATTCTACCATTCTAGTTACAACAAAATTCACTATACACCCATATACGGTTGGATAGAGATAGTGGATATCTTTAGTTGAATAAGATAATAATAAAGTACATTGTGAGTAGACGTTGGTTGCAAGATTTGACCCTATCAAATCAAATTTTGGTTTATCTACTCTAGCTTACACCTATATATATATAGGCATGATGAAAAATTTTACTCACACCAATTCACACATACGGTAGGTAAAGAGAGAGAGAAGAAAAAAAGAGAGACAGAAGGTAGCATTGAAAATAAAGTTTGCATACATTAAATATTTTAATCATGTATTTTTCAAAGCAGCGAAAAGATTTTGAACGTGCTTCAAATTTTTCTAACAAGGTAAGATACTTTAAGTGCAAGTGTTCTTGTTTCCTTGTACTTTTATGTCTAATAAAAAAATACATGGATTGCTAGTAGACATTCTTTTTTTTAAAGAGATATGAAATCCCACGGAAATATAAGAGGACCTAAGATGGGCGTGTCGCTTGATCACCGATATACTCCATAAAATCTGATGGTATGAATTGTAATTTTTATTGTTATATATATGTATATGGAAACTGTACGTATCTTATTGAGTGTTTTTGAATACTAACTCTTACAAATTTTTACAGGTTAGCTCGGACCGATTGGAATTGTGGAAGGACGGTGATGCGGGCTGCCAAGTGAATCAAATGAAAAGAAAAATAAATGAGTTTGTCGTCTTTAAATTTACCAATTAGTTTAATTTTGTTCCAAACGTGTTATTTGAATTAGTGAAGAGTTTATGTTATGTTTAGATAAAATTTTCATATTTTAAATTTAGATTTATAAACGTTGCAGTTATTTGT